CAACCTCCCACTCCTCAACCATTCAGACCTCCCAATAAAGATGGTGCCGAGCTAAAGTTAGACAGTAACGGCGTATCTACGACTTCCCCTTCTGATAAAGATCGACCACCTGTTAGTGGAGGTGACAGTAAATCCCCACAAGGAAACAAGTCAAGACCTATTGTTCGAACCATAAATGACATTCAGAAGCAGCATAATACCAGTAAACCTACACCTGAACGAAGACCAGCCAGCTCACCCCCTGTTCCTTCTCTGTGCACAATCCCTAGCAAAGAGAATGACTGTAAGCCATCTTGCCAACACACATCTGTATTTCTAACCCAAATTAGAGAGGCCGTCTTGCTGAAGGAAAACGGGCAACAACAAAGCAACGGTACATCTCCACTGAATCCCGGACGCATTTTTGATCCTGGACCCCCTGCTGCAACTGTGTCTATCATGAAAAGTGAAGAAGATGAAAGATCTTCATTCAAACACCATCCTACACTTGTGAATCAGATCAAAGGAGGACTCCCTCTAAAAAAGAAGGAGCAGCAAGAACGGGTAGATAGTACTGTTACGTCTACTACAGGCCCGCTGAAATTTGACCCTGCATCATCCAGAGGCATTAGCACCAGAAGCATAATGGTGGATTTGATGGATGTGATTAAGAAAAGAAGACAAGTGACCTACTCTTCAGAAGAGGAGAGTGACTTTGATTTTGATGAAGGATGGTGAAGCTAGATAGTTTTGAATTCCTTTGGATCATTAGTAGAGCTAGTAGAAAAAAATGCCTTCCAAACATATAAACTCTCAAACTGAAAAAACCTGGGTAATCATATTATGTAAATGTGGTAATGTTAATGTTCTTACAGCAAGAAGAGTACCGCAAGAAGTTCTGTCAAAACAAAGCAATTTGTAGTTGAAAAAAAATGTTACCAAGTTGAAAAAAAAAATAGCCATGACATTGCTGAATAAATTTGGATAAAGTAACATCACATCTGTTCTATAATTGTTTTTTTTCTTTTATGGATTTATTCTTATGAAAAACAAAACGTGTTTAATATTAGTATTAGATAATTTAATTAAAAAATAAACACAAATGCACAGGTAGGCACAAAGGACTCTGTTGTTGTGGTCCCATGATTGTCCAAAATAATATATACAACCAGTTCTTCTGAATATACATGTACACATTGTTGCCGTTGAATATCACTGCATCAGAACCGTCAAAAGTGTGTAGAGAAACATTTATATCGGAAATTGTAAAGTAAATAAGACAAGAACGTTTTGAACTTTTAAAAAATACCGGTTTTAAACGGTTGTTTAATGATTATTTAATGGTTATTAAACATAATTTAACATTTAAAGAGCATTTAGATGTCCTAGTCATAAACTAGGTTAGTGGTCATTTGAACCAGTCTTACCTGAAGATGTGTTGACCAGTCTGACCTCATGGCTTCTCCATATCCAGCCGTCCCTACCCAGAACTGAACCCAGAATATGGCGCATTCTGCGGGCAGCGACAGCCGCCCCTCCGGTATGACATCGCAAGATCTGACCGTGCATCATTTAAATAACTACTAGGGGGAAAAATACACAAACACTGCGTAAAATGTGATAAATATATCTCTCGGGTGTTCAGTGGCCTTTCATATCTGTCAGCTCATACTGTCATTGGAGTCGGAAGATAATAAATGAGGGACTGACGTGGTCCGGGACTCTAGTATTCCGTGAGAACTTCCGTGAGAAATCAATAGTTCCGACCTGTTTTTTTTAGTAATAATAATAATAATGCAATAACAATGATAACGTCTTACTCAAGTATATAAATAATAGCAAAAATAAAAAAAACAAGAGGCTATAAGTATTCATTTAAAAAAAAAGGACGACACTAACGGCCCAAATCACAAAAATCGACTCTATATTGCATCATAAAGCCACATGCCCAACCACGCCCCCAAGTGTATTACCCGGCTTTAAGAAAATAAATAAATAAATAAAAATAGCACACTCTGCACTTTTTAAAGGGCCTTTTTTAAAAATTAGTCTTTAAGTTAACCAATAACTCTCTCTTTATCTGGGTTCGTTATGTTACTCAGTTGGTTTAGTTTAAATTGTTTCCAATTGCCTTAGCTTTAGCTTTAGCTTTAGCTTTTAGTTCGTATAGTTTCCCAGCAAAAAAAACAAGAAATAACCCTCGCTAACTCATTATATTAGTGACATTAGACATTTTCACTCCTATTTACACTAACATTCAGAGTGCTGTTACGCAGGCCTCGTACTGTGAGCTCATTCTTTTGAATTCCAGTGTACGATTTAATTAGTCAAGTGTATAACGGGTGACGTCATATAACTCTACCTCCTGTGCTCACGCCCAGTTGAAGCAGTTGGGCACGTGCCAGTGACACAATTACCAAACCGTACCGCGCGCGTTTGAAGCCGAAGGGGCAGTGGTGTTATTAAACATAATTTAACATTTAAAGAGCATTTAGATGTCCTAGTCATAAACTAGGTTAGTGGTCATTTGAACCAGTCTTACCTGAAGATGTGTTGACCAGTCTGACCTCATGGCTTCTCCATATCCAGCCGTCCCTACCCAGAACTGAACCCAGAATATGGCGCATTCTGCGGGCAGCGACAGCCGCCCCTCCGGTATGACATCGCAAGATCTGACCGTGCATCATTTAAATAACTACTAGGGGGAAAAATACACAAACACTGCGTAAAATGTGATAAATATATCTCTCGGGTGTTCAGTGGCCTTTCATATCTGTCAGCTCATACTGTCATTGGAGTCGGAAGATAATAAATGAGGGACTGACGTGGTCCGGGACTCTAGTATTCCGTGAGAACTTCCGTGAGAAATCAATAGTTCCGACCTGTTTTTTTTAGTAATAATAATAATAATGCAATAACAATGATAACGTCTTACTCAAGTATATAAATAATAGCAAAAATAAAAAAAACAAGAGGCTATAAGTATTCATTTAAAAAAAAAGGACGACACTAACGGCCCAAATCACAAAAATCGACTCTATATTGCATCATAAAGCCACATGCCCAACCACGCCCCCAAGTGTATTACCCGGCTTTAAGAAAATAAATAAATAAATAAAAATAGCACACTCTGCACTTTTTAAAGGGCCTTTTTTAAAAATTAGTCTTTAAGTTAACCAATAACTCTCTCTTTATCTGGGTTCGTTATGTTACTCAGTTGGTTTAGTTTAAATTGTTTCCAATTGCCTTAGCTTTAGCTTTAGCTTTAGCTTTTAGTTCTTATAGTTTTCCAGCAAAAAAAAACAAGAAATAACCCTCGCTAACTCATTATATTAGTGACATTAGACATTTTCACTCCTATTTACACTAACATTCAGAGTGCTGTTACGCAGGCCTCGTACTGTGAGCTCATTCTTTTGAATTCCAGTGTACGATTTAATTAGTCAAGTGTATAACGGGTGACGTCATATAACTCTACCTCCTGTGCTCACGCCCAGTTGAAGCAGTTGGGCACGTGCCAGTGACACAATTACCAAACCGTACCGCGCGCGTTTGAAGCCGAAGGGGCAGTGGTGAGCTCGTCCTCCGTCGAAAGGGGGGGGAGGAGAAGTAGGAGGAGAAGAATGGAAAGAGAGAAGGAAGAGGGGGACGTGTGGCGGCTCTAGGTTGCGGCGGTGGAGCCTCGAGAAGCGTCCTTGCAGTGCGCGTATGAAAGGCTTAAACGCGACACAACGAAGCGGCAGCGGGCTGCGCATTCCTCCACTTTCCCTTCCTTCCTACTTTTCTTTTCTTTTCTTTTCTTTCCTTCTTTCCTTGCTCCCTGCTTCCTCTCGGGGTTCAGCTCTCTTCTCTGCAGGAGTGAACGGACTGAAGAGCGGCGGCTGAAGCTCAGGTCCCGACCAGGACCATGGAGGATGTGTACCGTCTGAGTCCCGCATGGGAGGAACTGGTCAGTGGAAATTCGTTTTATTTTTAGTTTCTGTGTTTCATTAAACACAACATTATCATTATCTCCATTCGCTGTTTTATTTTTTCCCCCCCAGATATTCTCTTAAGTGTACGCTTTCTAATTTCAATCTGTAATTTGGATGTAACGGTTAAATTTCTTTTTTAAATGTTGAGAATCACAAACAAAAGGGTAAAATAACGTCAAAACCCACCAGTGTTACTTAAGGGTTTATTTATATGAGTTGGTTTTTCATTTATTTTTTTCCTTGTACATGAGTTGAGTTGATAAATTACAATTAAATGCAATTTTTGTAATGCAATAGCTAATTTTGATATTGCACTATATCATGAGGTATTTTGGTTTAATAGTAACGCATTGTAAAAATATATATCACGTTAGATATCACGATATTATCGCATGGCGCTGTGGATATTGTAGAGAAACGTCGGTTTGTCAAAATATACGTTTCTGCATTTTTGACGTTACGGTAAAAAAAAAGATACAATGGTCGTGTGTTATCGTATCGTATTTAATATTATTGATGTATGGCAATACATCGTATTATTGCGATGTGTTGTCATACATCACAGCATGTGTTTACGTTGCATCGAGATTGTTTTGCGACCTGTCTCCATACAATAGATAATTAAATATAAATATATTGCACAATGTCATAGTAATAGTAATTCAACCAGGTATCATGGGGAAAATACATATTTGATTAAATATACTGTATATATATCCCAATCATTTCATTGTCTGCAATATTACTATGAATTTGCACTTCGATACTATTTCAGAAATCTCATTTCATTGTCTGCAATATTACTATGGATTTGCACTTCGATACCCTTTCAGAAATCGTGGCACGGAACAAAACAAATAATAGGTGTTATTGAAACTATAATGTTACATTTTGAAAGTTTGGGATTTATGTCATTA